GCTTCTCCTGAAACAGGACTTTTTCCTCTTGCGCTCCGTTGGCTCCCGTTGTCTGCAGGTAAAGAGGGACACGGAGGTGAACGTGAGGCTCCTGGGTGAGGTTGAGTTTGACGGCCTCCACGGCCTGTCGGAGGAGGTGGATGTCTTCTTTAAGAGTAGGAGGCACACCGTACTGTTGCCGCACTCGCTCGACGGTGTACTGCAGCAAACGCTGGGTGAAGTCCTGCCCTCCAAGCTTGTTATTACCTGTGGAGATGAAGACCATGTGTTAATCTCCGTGCTGAAACAGGATGAAGGTTGTGCACCTGATGTGACACCATTTCCATGTGTGTTAGGTAAATGCCAGTGAGGTTTCGCTGAGATTGCACTACCCAAAACCTTCTAACCTAAATACCCATTGAGGTCAAACCACAGAGCCTGGGGAAAAACATAGTATGTGTATTCAAATACAGAAGGTCATAACCAGGGTCCCTAACTTCTCTAAACAATGAATTTCAATGATTTTCTATGAATTTTCTAATCATTTGTGATGACTCTATAAGGATTTGAAAAATACAACTCACAAAAAATACTGTAGAACTGAACAAGAAAACCTTACATAACTACAACAAATTCCATGAAATTTGAATTCATATATTTAGATTTTAACGATGTATTACAAATATAATATTATAAGATAATATAAATGAATTGCTTTATATTTTAAAGGTGTATGCTGCTGTGGGGAGTCATTTGAATGATGTACACCCACGTGAGATTGCAAAAATTAAACAGCTGAACATGCGCTTCGCCAGCAAAACAACCGGAAAATTGGTACTTGTACGGCTGAAGAAGCAGAAAATATCTCAGGTCACAAGACAGAAAAACCGACAAAGACAAATCACAAGCGTAAACATCAGTACTGGACAAAAGTGGAACGATTTGACGACGGCGAAAATTCTGAGTCGCCTCTCTTTTTTTGTTGGATAGGACAGGTAAGGGAATTCATAATTGTGACTAAAAGCAAAACGCATTCAAGCCTTTAAACCATTTTAAAGAAAAGGGGTGAGTGAAAATGATAAAGGATTATGTATTTTATGTATTATAATATTAGTCTGAACAAAAACAGCAAAACAAAAATGCAAATGTAATGTCTTCCAGGAGGTAGCGATTACGTAAAAGCAGAAATAGCACTGCGCCTAGAAACACTAATGTATTTGTTATAATAAAATAGTAGGACAACAGGAAAATACCATTGAACCCTTTCTGAAGAAAAAAATATTAGAATATTAGATATTCAATATTAGAAGGACAACAAGTTTGCACGTAGGTTTGCACGGATTTTTCAATGCACAGAGTTTTCATAACGAATGAACAAGTGTGGTATTAGGGCAAAAAATCATTTAGAGTGCAACACTGGAATTAAAAAAGCTTCAAATTTCTTGCATCCGTAAATGGCCATCAGCTGAATTCTACATTAATGTGTACGTTAAATTAGAATTAACTGCTTGGCAACCATATATAACTAAACTTTGCTTCATGTTACACCCGTTATTTCTTCCTCCTCTTTGCTTTAATAAACAAACTTGCAATAATGGAGACAATACAGAGCAGGATGTGTCTCAAATATGTAAATAACATAAAGTAGCCCTGCCCATTAATAGCCACACAAATATACCTACTATTGTAAAATCTCTCCTAGTTGATACATTTATAATGTCATATAACCCAGCTCACCTGCCATTGCTCTGGTAAGGAACATGCCCCCCTGCTTATTAAGAAGTGACACATCAAGTGTTCCTCCTCCCAGATCCACCACCAGCACATTAAACACTTCTGCTTTATGCAGTCCATAAGCCATCGCTGCCGCCGTGGGCTCATTTATCACCCGCAGGATGTCCAGCCCTGATGAGGAAGACATGCACAATGATCGATCAGTTAACTATTATAGATTTAAACCAGAACATTATCAGCTTTTACAAGGATACTTGTACTGATTTCTATGGAAGCCAGTTTCCGCTCACGTAATATAAAAATCAAAAAAAGGTAATTGCAAAACAAGTCAGAATTCCAAGATATAAACTTAGAATTCTTACTTTTTTCTTGCAATTCTGAGTGTACATCTCACAACTCTGACTTTTTTCCCTCTGAATTCTGAGTTTTCTCAGAATAGCAAGGAGAAAGTTTGAATTGTGAGATAAAAAGTCACAATTTACCTTTATTTATTTTTTGTTTGAGTGCCTTCCATAGATTCCAATAGCAAGACAACCAAGTTGTGACAGACTAAAGCTGTGGTTACATTAGCAAAATTTTGTGTGCAAAAAAAAGGTCAATTGTCAATAGCATAGAGATGCATGAAGGACAGCTTGTCTTGCACCGAAGTTACTTTCAAACCAAGCAGCTTTCTGTTGGTCAATGCAGTGAATTTGTGTGAAATTTTTCCTAATTGTGGATTCCTAATGAAATGACCGGCTTTTGCGATTAATGTACACCTTAAGAAGTGAGTAGTAAACTGACCAGCTAGGTTAGCAGCTCTTATGGTGTAGTTTCTTTGCCTCTCATCAAACTCTGCTGGCACTGATATAACCGCTTTATCGATAGGTACTCCAAGTTGTTTCTCCGCCATCTTTTTCATTTTCAGCAGGAGACGGGATCCGATGAATTCAGGAGTAACTGTGAAGGTGCTATTTGTAGAGACTAAAAATTCTGCACTCCTGTTGTTGAATATCACCTAAAATAGTAAAGAAAATGTTAGAGACACTGTAAGCCGTGCAAGAGCAATTAAAGACTGTAAAATATGAAATGTGTACCTTAAACGGGTATCGTGCGCTCTCTTTCTCTAAAGTGTCTTCATCGAAAATCTTCCCTATAAATCTCTTGGCATCATAAATTGTGTTTTGAGGATTTGTGTCAGACAATTCCTGGCCCTCATGTCCAGAAAACACACCGGTGGGGGTGAATGACACCACACTCGGAATGCTGTTGCGACCTTTGTCATCTTCAATAACCTCAATCTCGCCTGTGCCAGGCTGAAACACTCCCACAGAGCAGAAAGTGGTCCCAAGATCCAACCCAATGACCCTGGGCTTCGGAGGGGGCAGGTACTGCTGTCCCAGGTATCCTGCCAGGAACAAAGCCAGGATAACAGAACCTGTAGGGACACACAAAAATATATATGACTAAGAAAAAATGGTGAAATCAGGAAACGTTTCTTTCGTTATAGAGGCTACCATAAAACTTAATGGTTGCTATACGCATGTCGTTCATATGTATTACAAAAGTATATTATCCAAAAATGTGGTATGTAGAAAAAATAAAACACGGCAATTCTAGACCATATTCCTGGTGAGTTGATGCGCAAGTATGCTGTCTAGATAGGTAACGTTAGCTAGATGTTGAAACAGCCGCTGTAACATCTGTAGTATAAAGAACGGACGCCAGCTGTGTCTATAAATGGCGTACATTTTTTTGGACTTTTTTGTCTCTAGTTGGACAATATATCTATCTGTCTGTCTGATGTACCGGTAGTTATCCACGTACAGTCAGTTATTACTTTCATGACAGATGCGTCAGTGCTATATCTAGCTAAATGCTACATAGATGGTTATTCTGTTAAATTTGACATATATATTTAGGAGTACATTAGTTTAATTTAACACTTACCTATTATGGACATTTCCCCGGCCATGTTTCCAACCCAATATGTTATGAATATTTGTATAAGAGATGTTCATTCAATATCTGCTCTGACTGAGCGAACATACACGTCGACCTAATACGGGCTGTTTGGCTGATGGGGGTTGTAGTTCTTTTAATCAGTAGCATGGTTACAAATGTGACAGGAACTGCTGCTGTTAACTACATTTCCCAGAATGCACTGTAAAGCGCAAGCGGACTTCTGCACAACTTCCTGTTATCATTTTTAGTTTCGAAACCGGAGAAGACCTTAAGTTTATTAGAAAGAAGGCAAAAGGAAGGTGCTTACGAAACCGAGGTATATGATGTAAGGGAATATATGGGGTCAAGGTATGGAGAATATATGCACATTTTCAGATGCCTCAAAGGATCCAAAAAGCAGGTCACGTGGGCTCTGCGTTTGTAATACCGAAGTTAAAAGTAAATAAGAGCAGTAGAATATCAGATTGTTTATCAGTGTTCACTGGAGAGATGTTTGCAATAATTATGGCAATAAGGTGGATTAGTGAAGTTAAAATATCCAAGGCAGTAATATGTTCAGATTCAAGTTCAGCCCTAATAAGTTTGAATGAGCAGAAGTCAGAAACAAGACAAGATATGATAATAGAGATTTTTCAAGAATTATATTATATATACAGGTGCATCTCAATAAATTAGAATGTTGTGGAAAAGTTCATTTATTTCAGTAATTCAACTCAAATTGTGAAACTCGTGTATTAAATAAATTCAATGCACACAGACTGAAGTAGTTTAAGTCTTTGGTTCTTTTAATTGTGATGATTTTGGCTCACATTTAACAAAAACCCACCAATTCACTATATCAACAAATTAGAATACTTCATAAGACCAATTAAAAAATTTTTTTTAGTGAATTGTTGGCCTTCTGGAAAGTATGTTCATTTACTGTACATGTACTCAATACTTGGTTGGGCCTCCTTTTGCATGAATTACTGCATCAGTGCGGCGTGGCATGGAGACAATCAGCCTGTGGCACTGCTCAGGTGTAATGGAAGCCCAGATAAACACATTTTAAGTAAAATCAAGATTGTATCAGTAAATATTAGTCATTACCGATATATATTAGCATGCTGATCAGAGAGGGGAATTGTGTATTAAGTATTAATTCAGGTAAAGAATGGAAACTGGAAAGTGCTTTGAAACTAACCCTCCTTATCAGTCATTGCACGTGACTAGTCATCTGGAAACTCATCCCACCAAACACCCACCAAAACCAAATAGTTATTTTGAGAAACAGATGGAAAGTTAATAGCATAAATTTGTGCAGTAGTAGCAGTGTGTATTCAAACACAGCCAAATGAGGAAGCTTCAGAATAAATAACATTTTTAAATAATATTATATACAATTCAGTCATCATAAACATTTGTAAAAGCTGTAAAAATTCCTCACACACAAGTATGTTGCCATGAAAGTTCAAATAAGATCTGCAGTAACAGAAATAGGTTACATCAACACAAAGCTGAACAAAGAACGTGTAAATAAAAACGCACAAGTACATCTAAATGAAAGAGGAGCACAAAAAAAGAAAACATATTAACAGAGTTGTGGGTCTGTTTGTAGCTTTAACATGAAATGATATCAGGAGAGAGACACTGGATAACTCTCAGCTCAGCTGTCAGGACACTCTGCAGGAATAAAACAACCCGAGTCTCTGGGACAGTCATTATCTTCGTCTTCCTCCTCATTGCCCTTCATCGCTCCCTCTTCGTCTTCTGTAAGCCAAACCAAAGAAAGGTTAAATCTCTCATACAAACTCCTGCTCGTTAATTTCATCTCTGCTGAACAAATCAGGTTTGCATTTGCGCAAAAACCCAAATGAAATTAATGTTAATTAAATGACAGTATGTCTTCCTGGTTATTATCCCACACTCCTATCAGCCAGAGCAGCGCAGCCATGTGCCACCTGCTCACACAGTGAGCCCACATTCAAACGCCAATTAATCCTGACCTGCATTTACAGGAAAAGGCTGTTCCTGACTGCACAGAGCATTATAGATTAAATTAAAACAGATAAGGTTGTGACTTTCAGTAATACTGGACTCGCTGTCTGACTCTGTAATATTTCAAAAAGGCAGAATTTCATCAAAACACAAAAATAGACGATGCAAAGATTGCGGAATCTGTGTCCTTCCTGAGGCTTGCTGACATAATGTTTCCTGAGATGGACACAGAGAAAACCAAAATATAGCTTTGCCCAAAGCTGTCAATCAAACTGCTTGTATTGATACTCACTGCTTAGAGGCACATAGAGGCAGTCTGATGCAGCAAGCAACCTGCGTCTGTGTTCTGGATCGGTCACATTCAGCTCAATCAAATGCCTCTCTTTCAGATGTTTGAGATCATCTACTGTCTGGTAGCCATTGAGGAGTAATGAAGATTCATATTCCTGTGACAAAAGAGATTTCCAACATTAAAATGTGCAATACAGCTATAAACTATCCAGTCAAAGATAAATTTATGGACATATATAATTCAAATTTAAGGGGAATTATCTTGCACTTGCACTAAATCATATATGCCGACTAGTGTGGATGTGAACGGGCATTTTCAATTAATTCTCTAGGGAGCTGAGTGTTTATTTATTGATTAACTTTTTTGTGGGATTGATATGTAGAAACAAGGGGTGAGTGTGTCAAAGTAATCAGAAAAGCTCAAATATGCCAATGACAAAAAAGCTGGCAGTATAATTTGTATACTATTATAGCATTGTTTTTTTGAATTGGCTTTTATTTTTATATTGATTTTATTTTTGTTGTAAGTATGTTTTTAAATGTTTTTGTCATTTTTATGAAACATTAATTATAAAGTTATTATTATTTATATTATTTTATTAATATATTCATATACTATCATATATTACTATTATATAATTTATATTGTTATATTCATATTATTTTAGTACTTTAATTTAAAATTCTTAATTTCAGTTAATTTACAAGGCAACATTTCTAGGAAAGAATTTTTAAGTTTTTTTTTTAAATCTAATATTTAGATTTTATTTTATTTCAGGTTTTTTTCAGTTACAGAAAATATATTGTTTGTAATAGTTTTTATTTTAGTTCAATTAAAACACTGGTGGCAGCCAATCAGTGTGAGGTGAAGATAGTGACGTTAAAATCCACAGATAGTTTTCTGGTGGATTTTGCTGGATTAAGCAGGTGGGCATGAAGGATAAGTGATGCTTCTATGTGTGTACTTGTATACACATATGTGTCCTATCTGAGGTTATACCTCTAAATGAAGTCTCTCTAATAACTCCAGGAGTGTATTCGGTCGTGGCTTCTTGCATACTTTCACAGGTCTTATTTTTGGGGCCTCCTCTTCTTCCTTCTCTTTCTCAGGCAGAACATCCACATAAATAAACTTGAAATTTCCCACTTTATTATTAAGCATGCCAGTCCATATGCCCATAGGTGGTTTACTTATGATGCTGATGATGTCTCCCACCTGAAAAAGATTACCAACACCATTAACTTACTATTGGCAGTTAATGTTTCTCCTTTAAAATTGTGCTGATTCAATCAACTGGAAGCAATCTTGAATTAAAAAAATTACAATATTTATTTCACCTTCAGTTTTAGGGAGTCTGTATCATATGGACTGGGGACAAAGTCTGTATGTACTTTAGCTCGCCCGCAGAACTGTCCCGTGTAGGGCACTTCCTCTTCCAATTTCCGGCTGTGTCTGTTACTGGATATATCTGAATTGCTAGCCACACCACCTGAGCCAATAAATACAAAAACAAAAAGAGTATGATTACAATGTCAAATCACTTTCCACTTCAGTCGCTTGTGTGTAGATGCTTACTGGATGAGCTCTGTCCACTGTAGAGGCTTTCTAATGAGTTGCTGGTTTGGTCTGAGCTCTTCTCTGCTGGAGACCCATTCTCTGTTTCTCCCTCAGTGTCATCCCCCTGCGCCAAACAAAATATCAGTCTGGATATTCGTATGAACTATTCTACAGATTAAGTGATAGGGAGAACTGGGGTTGGTTGGTTTCAGTGGTTGGTTTTGTGGGTCATAATTTCTGGGTCATAAGGTACACTCTCAAAAAAAGGTACAAAACTGTCACTTGCAGCAGTACCGTTTAAAAAGGTACTAATATGCACATTTTAGGTACTAATATGTAAGGTACTTATATATAGCTTTAGGACCTTATATAGGGTACGGCTTTGTATTGTAAATTTTTTTCTGAGAGTGTACTTAATTTTTTTCTGGGTCAAAACAGAAGTTACAAAACCGATTCAAATTTAAAGGAGTCATGAACTGAGAAATCTAAATTCCCTTGATCTTTTGACATATAAGAGGTAATTGTGTTATAAAAAAACATCCTGTAATTTTGAGAACTTTCAGAAACTTTCTCGTTAGTCTAAAAACAGCTTATATTGAATCCAATCTGCCAAAACAACAGGTTGTGGAATGCTCTACTCTGATGTAATAGTGTAGCTAAACACCTCCTCCGTAGAAGATGATCAACGCCTGCTTCTACATCACTGCCTGTTTAGCCCCGCCCACTGATTCCCGCACATAGTAGGTAAATGACAAGAGCGGGAAACGCAGGTCCACGCAGAAACCCAACGATAAGTTATAGACCGTGTCAGTAAGAACTCGAACCTTTGTTCACATCATTTTCTTTTACAAACGAGGCACAATTCGACGTTGGATTTTCACTAAAAGATTTGCTGTGCCAAATATATTGGATTCGACAGTAATGTGGCACCACACAAGTGTGAGTAACTGTTTTTATTATGTGGTCACTATTGCTTTGTCTGTTATTACAGATATGCTATTACAGTATTTATGCGTTTTTAACCTTTATCACACACACACACACACACACACACACACACACATATATATATATATATATATATCTTAATATATATTTTTTGTTTTTATATATAATTAAAAAAAAACATTTTAGGATAGTAAAACAACCAACAAAGGGAATAACACCCCTCCCCCCCCTACTATTTAGACATATACTTAATTTTTCTTTAAGTGTGCCAACCAACCCCTGTACAATCTGATGAACTGCTGATATTTGGGTAATAAAGAACTTTGTTGCTTAATCAGTGTCAGTAATCAAATGAGGAACTTGCATTGTTACTCACCATGTCGTCAGAGTAGGATTTTATGTGTTTCTTGGCCATCCGTTTACGCATAGTCATCGAGATGGCTTTCATCTTTTTTCCCAAACTTCCTGGTTTCTCACAGTTTTCTGCTGTTGATTCACTCTCTGCCTGTTTTATACATGCAAAAACAATATGTTTTGATAATCCATTTATGTATATACAGTGGGTACGGAAAGTATTCAGATCCCCTTAAATTTTTCACTCTTTGTTATATTGCAGCCATTTGCTAAAATCATTTAAGTTAATTTTTTTCCTCATTAATGTACACACAGCACCCCATATTGACAGAAAAACACAGAATTGTTGACATTTTTTCAGATTTATTAAAAAAGAAAACTGAAATATCACATGGTCCTAAGTATTCAGACCCTTTGCTCAGTATTTAGTAGAAGCACCCTTTTGATCTAATACAGCCATGAGTCTTTTTGGGAAAGATGCAACAAGTTTTTCACACCTGGATTTGGGGATCCTCTGCCATTCCTCTGCCATTCACATTGCTGTGACACTCATATATTTAACTCAGGTGCTGTCCATTTCTTCTGATCATCCTTGAGATGGTTCTACACCTTCATTTGAGTCCAGCGGTGTTTGATTATACTGATTGGACTTGATTAGGAAAGCCACACACCTGTCTATATAAGACCTTACAGCTCACAGTGCATGTCACAGCAAATGAGAATCATGAGGTCAAAAGGAACTGCCTGAAGA